CCACGGCCGTCGCATCCCTCTGGTCCCTCGAAAGCATTGCTTAGCACAGAGGAGCACAAGTTTTGATCCCTGCTCTGGAGGGTCTTGACTCTAAGCAGTCAGAAAGCCTTCTCCGGCAGCTCTACTGCAGACTCTAGCTGTCTCCCCAGTACTATCCCACATCTTCCCGGACCCCCCTTCCGGAAAGGCAGAAGCAATGTGCAATTGATGTTAGAGCCTCTCAGAATATCAGTACAAGAAGGGCCCGCAGATCAGCGACTCAACTTCCCAAACATAGAGGACAGTGAGGCCACAGATGAAAGAGATTTGTCCAATGTCACCTGGAAGGGAAGCAGAGGAGCTAAGGCTTTACTCAGGTCTTCTGGCTCTCCACCTGCCTCACACTAAAAAAAATACCAAAAAAAAAACACAAAAAACAGGAAAGACCTTGAGGACTGCTCCTGTATTTAATGAGAGATGGAGTGAGGAGCCAAACTTGGCATTAAGGATGCAGGGCTCTAGACGGGGCAGCCAGTTGGCCTCCAGAACACCAGAGTCCAGGAGCACAGGTGAGAAGGGGGCGGGCTGAGCAGCTGGAACCCCCAGAAATCTTGAGGCAGACTGTGCCTCTGATGGACCTTAAGCCCAGGCGTGCAGAGAGTCTTGGTGGAAGGCATGAGCATCTCTCACTGGTGAAGAGAGGGTTACTCGCTGATCTCAGACTGCTGTCTGGAAGAGAAATAGACTCACTTCTCCCAGTCCCCCCATTTCCAGGAAACACGGGCACCACGTTAGAAGCAGCTCGAAGGCACACTAATCATTCAAAGCCTGCAGCTGTCGCCGGGACTGTTCACACCACACCTGGGGTGGACAGCAGGGGCCCCAGGGCAGGGGTTCTGCCTTCAACCCCCCCCACCAATGGAACCCAGCCCTGAGCATCCAGCAGGGGTGCCCTGCCCACCTGGCCACTTGCCATGATCCTCTACCCCAGCTGGGGTTTACACACCTGCTGCCCAACATCTCGAGACATTCTCCCTCCGCAGACAACCAAGCTGCTTGCTGGCGGCTGCTGGGTCTGACTCTGACTGGGGCCGCAGGCTTCCTCGCTCTGCAGTCAACCCTTCTCTGAGGAGTCCCAGAGCCCACCGAGGCCTTCCAGGGACGCTGGTGACGTCCACAGGCAGGCTGCTGGGCCGCATGACCCCATCCACATGACTTCTATCCACACAGCCTTTATTCCAAGCGTAGGCTGAGTCTACATGCATCAGAACCACCTGAGATGTGTCCAAAATCCTGGTTCCTGGGCTGCCCTACAGGATCCAAATCCTTGGAGGGGGTGGAGCCTTGGAGCCCTGTATTTTAATACATTCCCTCAGTAATTCGGATACAGCCGAAACTTTGAGAACTACTTTTTCTCACCACGTCCCCAGTCTGGCTACACTCTTTTCTGCTGCCAACCTGACAGCTGTTACAGCTGTGTGTGTGGACACAGTTAATCTGATTTCCTGTCTGGCAGCTGTGCCGCAGGGAAGGGACAGCTGAGGGTCTCAAAAACAAGAAGTCGGAGCAGTGGGGGGGAGGGGAGGCTGTCTGAATGTAATGGAGTGTCCAGCTTTGTTCCTGAGCCCCCTTCTCTCCTGACACCGCTACAGGGAGGGGGAGAGCTGACCAAGTGGTCTCCACTACTCACGGAAAACAGAGCCTCCTCTCAGAAACCCCCCAAAGCCAGACTCATCTCTATTCTCTAGGAGCACAAACTTGAGAGGCACACTGTGTGCTGCAAAGGGCACCCCACTAAAGGAGCAAGTTGGTGCTGAAATCTAGCCCATGCTCCAAGTGCTAAGCCACGTGCTCTGGCATGAAAATGTATCCACCTGAAAGAAGGGCCACCTCTAAAAAACGTGCACAAAGGAACGCTTGTGGGGGTTGGCTGTCGCCCTTCACAAGAGACCTGAACCTGAATTCCAGCTGTCACTCACTCTGTGACCTTGAGCAAGCTCCTTAACCTCTCTGATCCTTCTCAATTGTACACCATGGCTAATAATACCTTCCTGAAAGAGAGAGGGGAGGAAGGCACCTGATACTCTTGTCACTTAGTACATTATGAGTTCCCTTCCCACCTGAGCCTCGCCCTTCCTACCTTCCCCACGCCCCAACACCTATACACCCACACACCCAGCCAAGCCTGGAATGGTCTGAAGAACGTGAATAAGAATACCCAGGGGGAATCCCCGATACCAAATCCCAACCCCATGGCACTTCCCAGCATCCAGAGCATCCCTTCCTGGCACACACAGGATTCACACCCTCCCTCACTGCGTAAAGGAGACTCCTCTCCCATGTCTGCTCATAAAATCCGGCACAATGCCCAAGCAGCAGTTCTGCCCAGTCCAGGCCACAGGGGAATCCAGAAGGGCAACGGGGGATCCCCCACCACTGCATCCTTGGGAATCCCATACCGGGGTTCGAGCTCCAAGGCTCCCCAAGCTGCGACCGGGCCTGATTGAGGGGAGCACCCACTGTGCACCGGGCTATTGCAGGGGGGCCAGGCAGAGACCCCATGCATCAAGGAAGACCTCTGATGGCACTGTCGGGAGCTGCAGTGTGTCCCCCTCATCAAAGCAGCAACAGCAAGGAGGGCCCTGCAGCTCCCAGGAACACCCCCGACCAGGGCTCTGGCTCACCTGCGGGGTCAACCCACCGTATCTGTCTATTCTCATGGAGGCCCAGGCCCATGAAGAACCCAGGAATCCTGACATCAGCTCCAGACACCAGCCCTTCAAGTGACATTCGTTCACCCAAGTGCCAGGCGCTGTGCTAAGTGATGGTGAACGAGATGGCCCAGGGAGCAAATGATGGCCCTAAAACAGGGTTCCAAAGCTTTGCTACTCGAGTAGGCAGAGTCCAGGGTAGACAGCCACCCCGGAAAGTCCTCTTCCCCAATCCCTCGGGCCGGGGAGGCCTGGCGACAACACACACTGCCCAGGAAGCGTCCCTGGACACCTGCTTTTTTAGCCACAGGCTTTTGCATCCTGTCTGGAGACTGATCAAGAGATGGGGTGAGGAGGCGGGAGGGGGTGGGGGTAGGGGAACACCAGGCTGCCTGGGCCCTCGTGGCCGTGTTTATCCGGGGTGGATTTTTTTTAACCCAAAGGTTAAAGCGTTTCTATTTGAAACATCTATTTACATTCCAGAGTCCAAAAAAAAAAAAACAAGGCAGCCGAGCTCCAGGCCTATATCTGTCCCCAGCCGCGTCACAGACACAGCATCAGAGCTGCGCAGGGGGAACATTCTTAGCCCTCTCCCCGAGCCGCTGAGGTGACTCACGCCTCCCTCCTGCCAGCATGGACCACACCACCGATCAGAAGGCTAGGCAGTGTGCGTGTGGCGGGGTCACACGGATCTAGAGAGAGATGCTGGTGGGGGGTGGGAGGTGGGGTCTGTGCAAGGACAGGAGGCTTAGGGAAGGGATAAGAGGAGCAGGGATTCTGGGGTCTAACTTGAAAGAAGGTAGGAGAACATGCTGAGGAGGAAACTCCAGGCCAACGGCCAGTGGCCGCTGGGAGGCAAGGGACAGAGGGACGGAGGGCAGAATGGGTGGACCAATAAGGCTTTTGGCTGCAAGCAATGCTCTACACAGCGGGTCCTCTGCTCTCCAAGAGACCAGCTTGACTCCCAGAGGCTTCGGGGTGGGGGGTCAGCAGGCAGGGTCTTCAGTCAGAGCCGCTGGCTCCCCACCAGGCCGGGGCTGGAGTGCTCCTCTGTGCTTACACTCCCTCCCAGTGTCGACCGACTGTTCGGCCAGCCCCCAGGGTCATGCCCCCATCCCAGGGGGCACCCTGCAGGGCTGGTTCCCAGGAGTCTCCCTAGGAGACTCTGAGGGCATCATTGCCCAGGCAGATGGTGGGCCTTTTTCCGAAGACTTTCCCAAACTTCCCCAAACTCTCATCCTCCGGCATATCCCAGCCCTGCTGCCACCTTATCCCTGGACAGCTTAGAGCCAAATCACCGGTACCCACGGAGGCACACGGCTCCTACCTTCCGACTTAAAGCCTGGGACCCACACCCATGTATCCAAAGGCAAAGACTCCCGATACGTATGCACACAGACACCCACACCCAAGCACCAAGCCGCTGCCAGGAGGGGCCAAGCGGGCACAGGGCCAGCAGGCCCCTCCCTAGAAGAAACATCTTGTGGTGCCGGCCTGGTGGGAAGGCTGTGCCAGGAAGGCCTGATGCTGCCAACAGGTTCCTGGGAGGGAGGGAGGGACGGACGGAGGGAGTGGCCCAGCTCTGGGGGACCCCACCCCCAGTCAAGAGCCAAAACCGTCCCTGCTGATAAAGTGGCATCCTAGGGGGTCCTCAAGACTATGGGAATCAATGACACGCCTTCACCATCATGAAATGGGATGAAACCAAGGCCTGAGGGAAGGAGAGATGGGGAGCTAAGGAAGTCAAGACCCCTGACACCCTCAAGTTGCCAGCCTCTACCTAACCCTACCTACCACACCTGCCTCGCATCTGATTCCCCGGGAACTCCCGACTGGGGACTTGCAAAAGTCACTGCCCCCAAGCACTCAGCCAAAGGAGCTGGAGTGGCCTTTATCCTTGTGGGCACTCAGCTATGGCCCACGCCCCAGGCTGGACCTGGGGAGCAGGCCGCTGGGAGGCAGGTCACTGACCCACTTCCTCCCCTCTGACCATGGTGCCAACTAGGCCAGGAGCCTCCAGGACTCCACAGCCCCCAGCAGCTCACGCCGACCCTGCCACCCCGCCGGAAGCCAGAGAGACCCGCAAACGCAGCAGAGTGCAGCCGGAGGCCATGGCGGGAAGGCAGGCTTGGGCCAGGGCGGGCCGGGAAGCAGACTTCAGCGAGTCGGCTTCCCTCGAACATTCTCAACAAAGCCCTCCAAAGAGATCTAAGCAGGACCCCATGTGGGCAATGCCTGGAGCCAGATGCTCAGCCCCAGGGATGAGGATGCGCGAAGGCAGAGGGCAGGCGGGGACAGCGAAGCACCTACCTGCCACAGGGATGCCGTGTAGAGGGGTCCGAGGCAGGATTTCCAAGGATGGTTCCCGGCCTGACATCCCATCTGCTGAGAAACAGGATTCCGTCTCATAGATGGTCTGCAGCATCTCCACGAGCCCCTGAGCCTTGGGCACCAGCAGCATGCCAGGGAGGGGCCGCCGGAGGCGGGAGGCGGCCAAGGAAAGGTGGTCTGGCGGGGCCCTCACTGCTCAGGGACTCCCTGAGGCCACGGCCACTGGGACCCGCACTGTGGGGAGGTGTCTCATCCGGCCCGGGCACTCCTGGCGGCAGGAGGAGCCAGGAGGCCCTGGAGCTACAGGCCCAGCTCTCCTCTAGAGGGGCATTGGACTGCTGGCCTCTCCCCAGCTCCCAGGAGCTGGGGTATGGCTGAGCGCTCGCTCAGGGGGACAGGAAGGGGAGCTCAGCAGGCAGGCAGGCAGGCGGGCTCTCTGTGTTCCCTCCCAGCCCTGGGTGACAGCTCTGGGCCTGGCTCCCTGCTCCTCCTTCCCGAATGAGCCGCCGGCAGCTGGCAGGAGACTGAAATAGCAGTTGGGGGAGGGCCCTGTCTATAAATAGGTGGAGCATGCTCAGGGAGCCGCCGGCCGGCTGCCAGGAGCCCGGGCCTGGCGGAGGCCCCATGGAGGGGGGGGGGAGGCGCGTTCCACCCCAGGAGGAAGCGCCAGGCAGGGGGATGGGAACAGGGGAGGGCCTGCACTCAGGGCCAAGGCCACAGAAGTGGGCAGCCAGAGGCTGCGCTGGAGAAGGGCACAGGCCAGAGTACCCATGGGTCCGGGAGCCGCTCTGGCACTCTTCTCAGCAGGCAAGGGGCTAGAGACCCAAAAGCCAGACTCCATCTCTGTGTTCCCTCTCGCCATCAGCACAGGTAAAGAAACCAGAAGGGTCTGGGAGAGGGTGGCAGACAGGGCCACCTGGCCTAACCTCACATCTTCCCTGGAGTCCTGCTTACAGCCAGATGGGAGCTGATCTAACTTCCGCCCTCCCTCAGAGCTGGGAGGTGCCTCCCCACCCCCTCAAGCAGCAGGGAGACCCCTGAGCAGCAGCTAAATGGAGGCTCCCTCCTACCCACTAAGGGTGTCGCCTCCAGGGGCTGCTCCACTTCCTTCCAGGCAGGCAGGGAGAGTTCCTAGAGAGGTCTTGCCCCATCCATGGAAGGGAGCGGGGTGGGGGGGGGGGCACCTGTCCACTCTCAGAGCACACGGAGCTCCTCCCTGGCAGCATACCAGGTGCAAGGCTAACGGCAGCATCACCTTGTTTACTCTGCACAATGACCTCCGACACAGAGGAACACATGAAGCTGCCCCAGGGTTTCCGTTCACAGGGACAATGATTCCCAGTACCCAGGGAGGAAGACACATGAGGACAGAACCCCTCTAAGAAGACTCAAGAAGCTGCCACGATCTGGCTCTTCCCTATCGGCTCCAGGCCTGGCTCAGCAGCCCATACTTCCGGGGCCCCACTGGGACTCAGGGCAAGTGCACACGAGGACCCGTGACACCCGCTTTCCCTGCTCACTGCTGGCTGGTCCCTTCTCCTCGGGTTGTGCCTCCCCCGGTACAGAGATCCCACTTGGCCCCCTGACCTCACTGGAGCCTTTTAATAGCCTGGTTATTCCTGGGTCTAGGTCCCCCTCCCCCTTTCTGATGTCAGAGTTGCTATTTTGGAGCCCCCTCCTGGCCCCTCCTTGCCCCCAACTCCAGGCACAGAGCCAGGGACACCTGTCCTCTCCCTGGACTGGATGACCTCACCCTCCTGTCGGGAGCCCTGCAGGAGCTGGCCAACCAAGGACACAGTGGCCGTGCCTCCTGCAGCCCAGTATCCCGGCCAGCTTCTGCCAAGCAGGGATGACAGCAAAGGGGCCTCCTGTCCTCAGGTGGGGGGAGCACAGGGACAGGGGAGGTGGCAGAAGTGGGCTTTCCCAGGCCCGGGACTAGCTGATCTTATACAGTAAGACATACATTGGGGTGGAGGGCGGGAGAATGAAGATGGGGAGCCTCTGAAAAAACAGTGATGGAGCAGTGCTCCCCACAGGGTTGTGGAGTTGGGAGACATCTCAGGGTGGGTCTGGGGACCTCATTCACCACCTCTTGCCCCAACCTTGTCCTGGTCAACCAAACTCTCTAAAGAGGAAGGAAAGCAAAGACCAAAATCCCCTCGGCGGGGTGATGGGCAGCAGGCATGAGGCAGCCTGGAGAGCCAGGGGTGGGAGCCCCTCCCAGCTCAGGACTCCACCCACCCACGCTGGGAGCAACCAGAAGGGCTGGCTAGCCCTGTCCTGGCTCTCCCTGCCTGCCCCAGGCACAGGAGAGTATGGTCAGGGAACCCTATTCTGGAGGAGAGGAGGTCCTCAAAAGCAGAACCCCCCAGAACCTGGAGCAGCCAAAAACCTAAAGGAAGAGAACTCCTCGCCCAGGAAAAATAGGAGCACCCAGGAGGCTGGGCACGCAGAGGTGGCCAGAGCCTGGGGCTCCGGGCAGTGCCCAGCACTGTTAGGACTTCCTGTAACAGCCTGAGGTGGGAAGCAAAGTGTCAGACAACCAGATAATCCTCAAAGCACTTCCCAAAATCCTCTGGGGGAAATGGAGACGAGGCCTGGGGTGGGAACAAGGGCCTTTTTTTCCTTCTGAGATTCAGGTGATGCAACAAGGTGTTCCTAATGTCTAACCCTCAATCCTTCCCGCTCTATAGCCCCTCTCCTCGTGGTTTATTTCTCTGTCTCCAGCCATCCAGCTCTCCCACGTGTCATCCCACAAACCTTACAGAGCACCCACCAAGCACAAGGCGCAGGAACTCCATTGGGAGCCGGCACCATCCCCTCCAGACCGCAATGATCTCATTCCCTCCCTCGGAGGCTGGCCTCAGGTCTCCTAACCCTCTAAATCTGGAGGAGGGGAAGAGGCCAATGCTGGCTCTTTGAGCTCTTCCAGGCTCCCATTTCCTGGGCACAAAAGGCTGCGCACAGGAAGTTTCTTTGGCTCAGAGCACTCTGGATAGAGAGAGTACCAGGTGCCCCGCAGCCCTGGAGACATCAGGCCTGCCTGCCCTCCAGTCTTCTCCTGCCCTTTGAGCCCCATCGCGCTGGTGCCCATCTGCGTGGCCTGAGAGCTGCCATGCGCCAGGTCCCATGCCAAGTGTTGGCTGAACCCTCTCATTTGAAACCAAGTCCCGGAAAAACGTGAACACCTACTTTGGCATCTTTCACATCCCCTCAGGGTTGACCCTGCCTCCGACCATCCCATCCCTTCAATCCCTTTTGACTGGTGAAGCAGGGAAGAGGAGGGCGGAGCAGATCCCAATCTACAGTGAGCACAGGTGTGCCAGGGGACATCTAAGTAGAGAGGGACGCTGGGAGTCCACTTCCCAGACCCCAGACCCACGCCCCGCACTGACCCACTTTCTCCTCCTCGGGGTTGGTTCTCTACCCGGGGCGGGGGTGGGGGGTGGGCTCATTGGCAGAGCCTGAGCCCGAGGCTGGGAGGCAGGACACTGAGGTTCCTGGCTCCACCCCACACCCATGCCCCAGTTTCTCTGGTCACCCAGAGGGGGCAGCCACCTTCCCTCCCTCCCTCCTGGGAAAGGGAAGGAGAGAAAGTGTGGACCGTGCCAGGAGGTGCTCCAGGCAGGTGGTGTTATGAAGCTTGTCTCCCCTCCCACGCTGGGGATAAGGAACCTGGCCGCCTCCTCCTGGGGCCCTGTCGCCATCCAGACTGGCTCCCACGGCAGGCCTCACTCTTGCTGTTCCTTCTGGGCAACAGCAGAGGATGGGGCAGGGACCAGAAAGACCCAGGGCAGCTCCTCCAGCCTGGCCAGTCTGAGCCCGGACGGGAGGCAGGTTCAGTCCTTCAATCCCACTGAGGGGAGCAGAAGTGACCAGTTCCAGAAAAACAAAGAAAGCCTCACTCCTTGAGTCCCCTCTGGCCTGAAGAGACGCCAGACACCAGGCAGTAGCCTCTGAGGGGAAGCAGGAGGCCCCATCAATGGCCTCTGCCTGTGCTCCCAAGACTGCAAAAGAGGCAAATCAGGTCAAACGCTGGCGCTCAGCCCAGCCCAGAGGTAAGTCAATCAGCTCGAATGGCCCGGGAAGGAAAGGTGAGCCCCAGAAGTAAACTGCTCCCCCTGCCTGCTGCCCCTTGCCCGGGACACACTCTCTCACTAACTCATTTGCTAGGAGGGCAGGGACAGACCATCTTCTATTTCTGTGTCCCTGCAGCTGACCTCAGTGTTGGGCATGTCAGGAATACTCAGCAAGCACCTGCCAAACAGGAAGCTCCCACCCGGAGAGAAATGGAGGGAACCAAGGAACAGTGCTGTTCTGTGCCCTGGGGAAAGGGGAGGGGGTCTTCGGACATTCAGAAGAGGCTGAGAGGTGCTCAGGGCCTAGGGCACCCCAGGTCCTGGGCACTACCTGTTCTCTTCATTCCCACTTCGGCCCCCAGTCCCAGGGCCCCACACTCTTCCTGGGGCTCCCTTCAGAGTGTCCCCAGGCAAAGGGGACACCCACCTGCCCAGCTACGGTTTCACTTTACTTCTGCGGAGCCCATGGCACGTGCTTTCCAGGCTCGTGCCAGGCCCAGGCCCCAGAGGCCCCAGACCAGATACCACGCTGAGTTCTGAGAATAGCAGGTACAGGGCCCCTCCAAAAGGAAGGGCTGGGTGGGGGGCAGCCATCCCCCCTCCCTGCCCAAAGCAGCTCTTCACAAGGAGTGGCCGCCCCGGAGCCCAAGGAAAACTGGATGGGAAGAGCCTCTGGGCGATGCTCCCCCCCCCAGCAACGATCCCAGCCCTGAGGCCCTTCCACATTCCCAAAATGTGGTTCCCAATCCCATGCCCCCCTCCTCCTCTGACTCCTTCCCAACTATGAGAAGACAGCATCTCCCCCTGCTGGGGGGATCTGGAAAGCCAGCCAGGAGGTGAGGCCAGCTCTCTAGGCCCCACTCATGAGGCCCCTCCTGGCTGGGCTCAGCGGCCACTCCAAGGCTGCTCGCCTCCTGGGCTGGTGGACACCTCCATCCATCTACCACCACACTTGTCGCAGCCCAGGCAGAAGCGGCTGCAAGGGGAACCTGGGCCACCAGCATCTGGCAAAGCAACCTAGTGACTGCCTCTAGCCAGGGTTGATTATTTTCACCTTTCACTGTAAAGGAATAAAATCCAAAGCGGGAAGATGTCTTTCCCAAGCCACAGTCAGATGCCTCCGGGCAGTTTCTGTTCCCTTGGCCAAAGGTTTGACCCAGGCTCGTTGCGCCTACAGGTGGCCCCTAGATGGGTCAGCACAGTAACTCAGAGGAAAGGAGCAGCTGGGCCCTGCTGCCATGCACAAGGGACCACACGGCAGCGGGGCCCAGCTGAGGTGGGCTCGGGACTGCAGAGAACCCACCAGGCCTCCCCCTTCCCTCCACCAACCCCGCCTCGGAGGAGGAAGCAGGAAGTCAAGTCAGGGCCTCCCCCGGCACCACCGCCGCCTCTCCCAGGCTAACTCCTGCCACAGCCCCCACAGGCTGAATGAAGGCAAGGACAGAGACGAGGCTCCGAAGGGGAAATGCAAACCCGCAGGAGGGGGCTCAGCACGCAAAGCCAACTTGGGGAGTCTTTGGAGGCCTCACAGGCCGGGCCGGGGCTCTACCCTGCCAGCGGCCCGTGCCCTGGGTATGTCATGCCAGAAAGGGGGAAGGGGCACAACCTTAACCAAAACAAATGGCACAAAGCCAAACAATACCACTAGCTGCCAGCTTCCCTGAGTCTACAGAAGTCCTCAGGACCCTGGTCAGGACCTCTGCCACAGAGCACCAGCACTGGGACCCCACAAGAGAAAGTATCAGGGCTGGGGCACCTGGGTGGCTCAGTCGGTTAAGCATCCGACTTTGGCTCAGGTCATGATCTCGCAGTTCGTGAGTTCAAGCCCCGCATCAGGCTCTGTGCTGACAGCTCAGAGCCTGGAGCCTGCTTCAGATCCTGTGTCTCCCTCTCTCTCTGCCCCTCCTCCATTTGCACTATCTCTCTCTCAAAAATAAACAAACAAACATTAAAAAATTATTTTAGGGGCGCCTGGGTGGCTCAGTCAGTTGAGCATCTGACTTCAGCTCAGGTCATGATCTCAGGGTTCATGGGTTTGAGCCCCGCATCGGGCGCTGTGTTGACAGCTCAGAGCCCAGAGCCTGCTTTGGATTCTGTGTGTCCCTCTCTCTCTGCCCCTCCCCTGTTTGTGCTCTCTCTCTCAAAACTAAATACATATTTAAAAAAAAATTTTTTTTTTAAGAAGCATCAGGTCCAGCAAACCGATGACCAGCAATGAGATGGGAGAAGCCTTGGATCCGGATATTGCTTCCATCCTGCAAATGGGTTTCCATCTCTAGGCCCTAGCTCCCCTATCTCCGCAAGACAGGGAAATATCCCTCTACTCTTTGGAAAAAGATGTGGGGGCAGGCTGCGCTGTGGGGGGCGGGGAGGGGGGGTAACGTGGAACATGATGGACTCTGACCCTCTGAGACTGTGCCAAAGGAGACAGCCAGGGAAAGAAGGTAGTTATTACTCTGACCACACTGACCCATGACCCTCCTGTGAAACTCCTGAGGGTCCAGCGCGGGCCGCTTGGACACATCCTCACGGGCATACACCCAGACCCACCCATCCATACAGCTGCCTGGAGTTCCACCCGTAGACTATTTCTGGCAGTACTAGGCAGCCTCTGAGGAGCAAAGGGGATGAGGAAATCGCAGGGTCAAAGACCCCAAATTAGGAACCCGCCAGGTCCAGGGCCCAAAAGAAAGGGTAGGTCTACCCAGACTCAAAGGAGAGAGCCAAGACTCCTCTACCAACATGTCACTGCCCCCTTCCATCCCAGCGCCACACACCCCGGCAAAGGCTAAGGCCAAAGGCCATGCAAACCTCCGCTAAGAATAAAACATGTAACACAGAGAGACTCTCCACCAGGAAGAGAAACGCCACCACAAAAAAAGGAAGGTGCGTTCAGCTATTGTGGGAAATCTTACAATACCATCCCCAGATGGGCCAGAGACATATGGGTATATGCGGCCCCTCTCAGGTCTGCCCGTCTTGGCAAACAGGGCAGAGCAGAGGGGGAACTGGAGGCCCCCTAGTTGAGAGGGCAGTCACGGGGACGGAGCTGGACCCACATCCTCTCGGGGCCCCGGCTCCACTATCAGCTCATCAATTTCCAGCTCAGTCTGCCCCATGGTCAATAACTTCAGGTTTGCCTTGGTCTTTTTCTCAAAAGGCTTCTCCATTCCTGACCCCATTGTTCCTTTACAACTCAGACCCCGAAGTTCAGCTGGCCTTGGGCTGGAAACTCACATAAGCTCGGTGTAGCCAAAACCACCCCAGGGTGCCCTTCTCTGGCCTCCCAGCTCTTACCCGACTCGGTGGGAGAGTTCATGCCGCCTCTGGGCCCACAGGAAGCTGGCGTTGGGGGCTGGGACGGGAGGGGGTGGAGCTGCGGTGATGTCAAGAGAGACAGACGAAAACAGACAGACGGACGGGACAGGAGCCCGGGGCCGCTGTGCCTCTAATGCCCATCAGAGGCCATCCTTCGGGGCGAGGCAGTCAGGCACTCAGAACGGCATCCCTAGGGAGAGACGGAGCAGGGTTAGAGGCCCCCAACTCAGGACTGTGGGAGAGTTGGAGACCTCAGGGCTTGTCAGTCTACACTTGGGGAAGAGACAGAGGGACAACCGCCCCAGGGGCCCAGAGGAAATCAACAAAAACAGCCAGGACACTGGCTTCTTCTCGAACTGGTGAGGCTGCCTGGGCTCAAGGAAAGGGAAATGGCTACAGTAGCCACACCCAAACCCCTTTACAGGTGACCGCGTCCACTGCCAGGTGGGGAGATCGTATAGACTTGCTTGGGTGCCTGACGTGGGACTGGGTATACACGAAAGGAGAAAAGTGCAGGGAGGCTTCGAACTGTCCACGGCAGTGGGGCAAGGCAAGCTGATCTGGAGTCTCCGGCAAAAGTTAAGGGAGAAACTGGTATCCCGGGCCCAGTAGCCCAAGCTGGGATGCTGGGACGCTCAGGCCAGTCACTTCCTCCCTCCTCTCGGATCCTCGTGCCCCCTAACTCTGGAACTGTGATGCGTTTCTGTCTTGGTCTCCCCCATTCAACAACGGGTCCAGGAAAGAGGGAAACCACCTCTTCTACCCATAACCCGTGCTGTTCCCAGGAGTTTGGAAAAGGCAGACACACGCACCCAACATCGAGCACACCCCAGACCAGGGTCCAGGGCCCCAAACCCGGGGCTTAGGTGTGTTGTACAGGTTGTGACCTGTGCAAGGAGGTCTGAAAACCAACCTGTTCTCTGCCTGCCAAGCCATGAGTCAGCCAGGCTGAGACCACCCAAAGTAAGGGACCACCCAGAGTAAGGGACACCTTTTCCCAGTTTGTACAAAGGCACTGAAGACCCCAATGGCAGGTTCGCCCAGACCAATACAGTAATGGAGAATATCCCAGTATTAAAGCACCCTGAGTTTTCCAACCTGTCCTCACTCCTTCGGCTCCTCGCCCTCCCCCCGCTCCAGCCCCACAGTTAGCCTTCAAGCCTCAGACGCTACGCAGGCACCCACCTGGGCCCATCCCTAAACAGCCCATGATCCACCCCAGACATGATCTCATTCATCTTTGTCCAAATGAAGGCAGGCCTTCCAATACCCAGTGAAAACTAGGTAGCAGAAGTGATCCAGAGAGGCTGAAAGGAGGTACATGTTTAAGCCCTCACCCTGTTCCCCCAAGCAGGAACAAGCAATCAGCTCTGCCCCCTGGACAGCCCCACCTCCTGGCAGGATTAATTCTCAGTAAGCCAGGCATGGCCGGGACACAAGTGCGCGGCATGTGCGCGCGCGCACACACACACACACACACAGACACACACACACGGAAGACCTCAAGTCTTCCTAGGCCTGCTGCCCCCTGCACAAGGGGCTTGGACTCCGGAGCTGGAGAAAGGTGCACTCGGATGGGGATTCAGGAGAAGGCGGAGTGAAGGGGCTGAATTGTTCCCAGCAGGCACAGATGTGGGGCAAGGACAAAAGAGGCTGTGCAGGGCTCAGGCCAAGCTCAGGAATGTGGCAGGTGGGGCTGCCGGTGCCCTGGCAGGGCCCGCGTGGGCAGGCGGCTCTGCCCGTGCCCACCCCAGGGCTGGCGCCCAGTCCTGCTCACACCCTTTCCCGTGGGCTGGAGAACACACGTTCAGAAATTCCCACGATTCCCAGCAGCCCGAGTGGCCCAGCCCATCTCATCAGTGAAAGGCACCTCCGCAAGCATGGAACACTCAGAAGGGGCAGGGCCTCAAAGATACAAAAACTATGATCAACTTTGAGCCCCCCAGGTCTTCACCCCCTGGAGAGAGGAGGAAGGGAGGGGCCCCTAGAACTCCATGTAGCTCAGGACTCAATGAGGCCTCACTCCTCCCCACCCTGCAGGATGCAGCAGGATCCCTGGGCCCCTGTCCACCTGCAGAGGGTGTCTGCCAACACCTCTACCAAGCCTCCAAAGTGAACAGGGGCCTCCCCGGGAAACAAAGCAGAGTTCACCACCAGATCCAGACCGGCAAAGATTCTTGTCTGGGGTGGGGCATGAAGGAGAGAAAGGACAGGGGAATGGTTAAAACCTGGCTCTTTGGTGCCTCCTCTGCTGTGAAAACTCCACTGTTGGCTATAGATAAACGAAGGTCTCGGTGGGCAGTCAGGGACCAAGGGCGGTGTCACTTCTGGGTGACAGAACACTTGGATGCCTTACCAGTGAGCAGCCTGGCTTCCATGATGTCTGCACAGACCCCAGAGCCCAGTCTCCATCCCATCAACTGTCTCCCGCAGTCAGACCTCTGTCCCAAACCCACCTCCCACCTCCAGCCAGATGGCAGGGTGTGGAATGAGGGACACCGGCCACGCCGCAACCTACAAGCTCATGGCTACAGCAGGGGAGGTAGGACAAAGACTCCCCCACGCCATTCATGAGCAATAAAAACTCTGGCAGAGGATGGGAGGAGAAGGGCAGACAAATAAGGGAGACATGGAGCAATGCAATGACCTGAAAGCCACAAGTTCACAGCGCTGCCACTGCAGGGATCTGTCCCTCAAACAACTCCTGCAGAATTCCTGGGGAGTTGGGTGTCCCTTGAACGGCCTCTCTGGAACCGGGACTCCAGCAGCACCAGGCTCCCAGGTGCTGAGCAGTGCAGCCCAGGGTCCCCTCCCCAGGTCACAGACAGCTGGGGGGAGCTGTCTGAACCAAACCCTGTGAACCTGAGAACTGACCAGCATCCAAGATCAGCTGCAAAGACCTCAGCCAAAAGCTGCAAGCTGTAAGCCCAGAGATGTCCCATCCCATGGCACAAAAGCCCTATGATCTTGACCCCTGCTGACTGTGGCCGTGGCAGATCACTTTCGCTGGCCTCCAAGAGCTTCCTCCGCCTCATGCCTCCCCCAAGCTGGGCCACCAGAAACCCAGGATTGTCAGGACCAGGAAGGGTGGCTGACTTGGACCTCCAGGCCCCAAACTAAGGGAAGGGGGAGAGAACAGGAAAGGAAAAAAAGGCACCAGGCTGACAAATTCATTTTTGCAATCGGCCCATTTCTGTTTGTCTGCTCAGACGCAGCTCCAGGCATCTGCACAAGCCAGATGGAGGAGGCTGCTATTTCTAGAAAAAAAGGGGGGGGGGGAAAGGGGAGGGAGGGAGGAGGTGGAGGCAGAGGGCAGAAGACCGGGTCTGTTTGCCCTAAAACCTCAGGCAGGCCGATACCCCCCTCCCCAGCACTACCAGACAGGGTCCCCATTCAAGAAAGGGCTGAGGCAGGGGCTGGGGTGAGGTGGGGTAGGGGAGAAGAAAGGCAGAGAAAGTTTAATTAGCCAAAGTCGACTACAATAGGCCCCCTCATGGGCTGCATCAGGTTTTCATTCATGAGCAAGCGACAGTGCTCCAAAAATGCCAAGAACCGCCCCCCCTCGCAGTCTCTCCCCCCCCCCACAGGAGTGCGTCCTCTAGCAGGCTGCCTGAGCCTCTGCTGTGTTCCAGACATCGCTCCTCAAAGGGATGTGAGTAGGAAGAATTAATTATTAAAGAGCAGCTGGTATTTCGGCACCGACTGCACTCCCCCCCCAGCTCCTATAGCTGATCCCCCTCCCCCTTATGCAGAAACACACACTATGGGCCCCCCCCCATCCCCAGTCCCCGTTTCTAAACACACAGCTAAAATACCACCCCTAGGGAAAGAAAAGCAAACCTTTGTCTCTGCTGCTACTTGGAGTGGGTGGGGCATGCGATACTGCTGCCCCCCACCTCCATTACTAGGGCCAGCTACTTGGGAGGCTAGGGAGGAAGGGGAGGCTGGCACAGAGCTAACCTGTCCTCCATCCTTGCCCCCAAGTAACTGAACACCTGGCCTCCGTCTCTCTGGCCCCTGGCACGCATGTGCAGGACAGAGTGGGGATCCAGGGGGCCCACCCCCCCCAACTCAGAAAGACCTCCGCCTGCCTCATTCAAGACAGAGTCCACACTGAAGTCCAAGGGGAGACAGAGCAGAGAGGGTTCAAAAGGGGCAGGGGAAAACCAAGATGTCCCAAGCTTTGCATTGAGGAAGGAGAGAAGACTGGAATGAAGAGGCAGGCAGCCCCCAACATGGCTCACCCACCATCCCCAGCCCAGCCCAGCCCAGCATCTCACCAGCCAGCACAGGCTCCAGGGCCCTCGCACTTGAACTCGGACTGAGGACCCTCTCTGCCTAAGTCCTCTGAACCTGAAGAGGCCCAGGGCAAGACCCAGTCTCCAGCGCCAGTCCTGCAGGGCAGTCTGGCCAGGAGTCCCCCCGGCCAAGCCTCAATCTCCCATCCTCTGGCTCCTTTTGTTCCTCAGATATGGCACCATCCTCCCCTCTCAGGTGAACCCAATCATCACCGTCACCCCAAACTGCTGAAACTAATCTCAGGCCCGGGAAGCACAGTGATCATGGTCAGGGTGGTGGGTCTCTTGAGCAACCCCCCAAAAGTCACTACAGCTACTACCCTTCCTCTTTGGGGACACACCTCATCTCAGAAGGCCAACAGTGGCAGTATCAGATGGTCACCTCTTCCCCCCAATGAGGCACCCCAACCTTCCCCTCTCCTCCCCTCCAACAACCAGACTCCCAAATGAATTACTTATCACCCAGCCAGTTCTCATCTTCCCCAGGGCCCCAGAGAAGGGTGGGGTAGGGAGGCAGCCTCCCTCAAGTTAAAAGGCAAGAGCAGACCCTGCTTCTATGTGATACAGACCCAGGATTAAAAATGGGGGGGGGGGCGCGAATCCACCCCAGACAGGAAGGAGGGTAGCTTTCATCTTTCTCGGGCTCCAGGGTGTCAGACGGAGGTGAGGGTGGGAAACAAACGCAGTAACGTCTCACGGGATGGGGGTGAGAATAATAGGAGAAAGAAGTAAGATGGGCCCAGAGGCCCCCTCCTCACGCACGGAAGTCAAGGACACAAAATCAAGGCTGTGTTCTCAGGCACGGGTGGAAGCCTGTGGGGTGGGCAGCGCCCCTCACCTCAGAGTACCAAGAAAGGAGTGTCCAGCGAAGAGGGGTCTGCATAGAATCCGGGTGCAGGGCTCAAAGCGCTCTGCAACGCGCCATGCGCCGTCCGGGAAGGGGCAAATCAGGAAGCCCCGGCCGGTCTCCGGGCCATTCGGGGGGTGCGGGTCGCGGCAAGGCGGGCCCCTCCCTCACCTGCAGGGAACGCGCCCCTGTACGGGAGTGGCGGGGAGGGGCGCGCGCAATAACCCGGAGGCCAGGCTCCCAGGCTGGCGATGCTCCCGAGGGTGGGGGGTGGGGGGGCGCCGCCTGGCACCGGGAGCCGGGAGGAAGGAAGGGGGGCGCGGGGCTGGGCGGGCGCGCGGGGAGTCCGCGGGCAGCGACGGCAGGAGGAGGGGGCGCCGCCTCGCGTCGCGGGCCCCCAGGGAAGACCGGGTCCGGGCTGGTTCGGCGGGCTCACCCCCTGAGGCTCGAGCTCCGGCTTCGCGGGCGGCGGCGGCAGCAGCGGCGGCGGCAGCAGCGGCAGCGCCTCCTCGACGGCTCCTCCATCTTTGCGGCGGCTCCTCCGGCTCCGCTCGCCGCCGCCACCAACAACAACATTCGGAGACGTCACTCCCGTCACGTGACCCGACCCAGAGCTAAAAATAGACCCAGACCCCCCCCCCCCCAACACCCTGGCTTCAGCCACCACCAACTCCTCCCCTCCCTCTCGGCCCTCCCCGCCGGGCGGGGCCAGCAGCGCCACCGGGAGAGCTTCTTAAAGGGCCGGCACCCAGCAAAGCGTCGGGCTGGGGAGGGGGTGCAAGGCAAGGGATCTGAGCCCTGCGGGAAGCGGTGGAAAGAGCGCGGCAGGGGACCCGGTTTGGTTTCTGGGACCCGGCCGTTGGGACGCTCGATTTTCCTCCCTGCCCTTCTCGACTTCCTTTTCAAACCATGGATGGTGCAATCGTTGCCAGCCTAAGCTTCTCCCTAACCCGTCCTCCCTCCCGCGGTGGGGGAGGGCAACTGGGGACGGATTCCCAGGGACTGGGAGGGCCGCCGAGACCCCACCTAGGGGGCTAGGGTGGAGGCAGATGGCTAGGACAGGTCCCGAATCCTCCTGATCCCCACCGCACACCTTGCATCCTTGCCAGGGAAAGGAGAGACTGGGAAAGGCCAGAGTATGGCTGTTAACAGTTCAAGGCCTTCAAAAGGAAGACTTCCGGTTCCTGACTTTGATGCCATCCTCCTCTACAACTCCCCTTAGGACACTGTATGAGTATGTGTAATTAGACCTAGACAGTTTGTCAATGACCAGTAATGTCACTAACAAAAGGTTTTTTTTTTTCTGAGGAAATGAGCACTGTGTTCAAAAATAAGTATAGAGGGAAAGAGGTTCTTTATAATAACGTGAAAAGTTGGAAAGAACCTAAATAGTCATCCGTAGGGGATTGGCAAATAAACAAGTGTACATCCACTAAGCAGGATACCATCCAGACATTAAAAATTATATATATTTCTGCTCACCTGAAAGATGCTTACAATACATTGTTTTCTTGAAAATCATTGACAAGGCATCATAGAATCTTTTCATTATTGTAAACAACAAATTAGATCCATATGTCTGAACACGGATGCATATTAAAAAACCTAAAGTAATAGATACCTAAATATTTACCTTCGTTTTCTTCATCTTTTTCTGTATATCTGAAGTTTTGCAACAATCATGTATTACTTAATCAGAAAAGGCAAATGACCTAAATACATGTTTCTGTAAGGAACGATAAAGGGTCTTCCTATAAAGTATCTCCGGATTCAGTCCACTCCGACCCATCTCTAACCCCACCCCTTGGTCTAAAACAAATCATGCCTCACTTGAAATACCAGCTGCCTTGGTGACAGGTCCATTCTCTCTGCCTCCATCCCAGTGTTCTTCAAAGCCAGGGTGACCCCCCCCCCCTTTAGACCACAAATCTAATAGAGGGAGAGCTTAAAAATCTTTCCAGTTTTGTCACTGAATTTTGTATCTGGCCCAGAAAAATGGTTTCCAAACGTTAGGGTACCTACAAATTACTTTGTCAGTGGGGATGGGGCCCACAAACATTCACTTTTAATAAGTACCCCAGGGGACTTTGCTGCCGCCAGTCCTTTCTTCATACTCAGGCAGGGGTGGGGGGGAATCAAACAGCCTAGAACCTTCTATGTGATCTGGTCCCTACCCCCCTCACCTTTCTTCCTTTAGCTGGCTTTCTCTTATGTCCTTGAACAATGTGCCCCTTGCTCCTCGGGGACTTTGCATATGCTATGTGTTGTGTTTTTTTTTTCCCCTGGAATGCTCCACTCCCTTCTCTTTGCCCAGCTAACTCTTACTCATCCATAGAACTCAATTAAATATCACTTCCTGAAAGTGGCCTTCCTTTATTCTTTAGTTAAATTAATTCCCCTTGTTATCGATGCTTTAACTGACCCTGATAGCAACTTGCAAATATGCACCTATTTAGGGCATTATCGGTTCCATGTCCGTGTCTTCCTCTAAACTGTAAGCTTCCTGAGTGCAGACACCCCACATCTCCTCTCAGCACAGTGCTTGGGACAACAACAAAAAGACTTCATGAATATTTGTTGAGTGAAATGAATGAGTCTTAAAAGATGAAGCTGTTGGGGGCGCCTGGGTGGCTCAGTTGGTTAAGCGTCCAACTTCGGCTCAGGTCAGATCTCATGGTTCATGGGTTCCAACCCCGCATCGGACTCTGTGCTGACAGCTCAGAGCCTGGAGCCTGCTTCAGATTCTGTGTCTTCCTCTCTCTCTGCCCCTCCCTCACTCATGCTGTGTCTCTGTCTCAAAAATAAACTATTAAAAAAAAAAAAAGATGAAGCTGTGGCACCAGGGTGCTCAGCCAGCTAAGCCATCAGACTCTTGATTTCTACTCAGGTCACGATTTCACGGTTCTTGAGATTGAGCCCCACATGGGGCTCTGCACTGACAGCTTGGAGCCTGCTTAGGATTCTTTCTCCCTCTCCCTATCTGCCCCTCCCCCAGGCTTCTCTCCTTCTCTCTCTCTCTCTCTCTCTCTCAAAATAAATAAACATAAAAAAATTTAAGCCAAAGGGAGCACATTCTGACTGAACAAGGGACCACCCCCATTGCTTCTTGCTGAGCAAGAAGACCATCCCCACGAGGTCATCCCCTGCCACTCCAAGACAGAGATCCTTTTGTCTCTACCCATAAAGATGGCGCCACCCTTTGCTGTTACTCTTGATCAATCTTACGTTGTCTCTTACGTGGTTGGGTTGGTTGGGATTTTGCTTTCCCAGTGTGAGTGTTTTCCCTACCCAGAGTATGAGCCACTGGAGAAAAGATAAGATCCTATTTCCTTTTGCTTTTCTAGTACCTAGCACTTCACCTTGCACATAGCAGGTACTCAGTCAAGGCCTCGGGATACTGAAGACTCTGGAATTTCTTCTCTCAAGATCTCAAAACATGAGGGAAAGAACCTCCCCATGTGGGATGATCGATGTCAATAACTCACAGAGCACCTTGGCTAGGCACTTCCCATTCCATAGATGAGGGGACTGAGGCTCGGAAAGCTAAGTAACTTGTCCAATGTCACAGAGTTCATGCAAGCAAGAACTGGGGTTCAAACCCAGGTCTGTCTGTCTCCCAAATACAAGGGACGTGGCCTGAAGGGCCTGGGGTCCCAGCACTCTAGCTGTCTCTTCCAGATGCCCCTGAGATTATCACCTCGATCCCCCAGGGGCCAAATGCCCCAGGAGTTATAAGAACTCACCATGCGGGGCCCTGGTGAGCCCTCAGATTTCCCCTTCTCGGGTAAGTGGGGGTTAAATAACCCCACACTCACTCTACATATGGTTTTGAGTACCTGTGGTAGGTGCTGGGGATATAGAAATGAATCTGCTTTTAAGGAACTTAGAGTTCCTCACAGAGAATAAAACTTGTCTTTTGGGTTTTTTTTTTTAATGTTTTTATCTATTTCTGAGAGAGAGAGAGAGGCAGCGTGAGCAGGGGAGGGGCAGAGAGAGAAGGAGACACAGAATCTGAAGCAGGCTCCAGGCTCTGAACTAGCTGTCAGCACATAGTCCGACACGGGGCTCGAACCCACGAACCGTGAGTTCATGACCTGAGCCGAAGTCAACTTGTCTTTTGTTATGAGTCCTTACAGTAAGCCCTTGCCAAGGCCACTCACCGAGGAAACAGGGATCAGGGGTCTGTCTCCTTAGATGCTGCCTCAGTAGAATGAGCCTTCAGATAGACTCTAGTAGCCGATTAGGGAATTTCTGCACCTGGGATCCAATAGTGCATTTGGCCTCTTGGTAGGAAGGAAATCAATCTTGGAGGAGAGCTGGACATTTAACCTATAGCCCTACAGATTGGCGGCACTGTGGTACTGTAGTACAATAGCACTGAAAGTACTGGACTTTAAGAAGAAGGCATCAGGGGAGAAGAATAAGGATGGTGAACAATGGTCCTAAGGGCTCTGGGAAGTGCAATCATGAGACATGTCCTGGCCAGTACCTGGAGCGGGAAAGAAAAAAGGCTTCCTTCCTGCTCTGTGGACACTCCTGAACTCCAGCACCCATTGCTGCCACACTCCCTCTCACTCACCCAGGCCTAGGCCCTCCAAAGTTAGCATAGCCTAGGGGCATCTGGCCGGCTCAGCTGGGAAAGCATGTGACTCTTGATCTCAGGGTCTTGAGTTCAAGCCTCATCTTGGGTGTTGGGATTACTTAAAAATAAATTTTTTAGAAAGAATACAAACTTGAAAAGATAAAGTTAGCATTGCCTGGGGAACAGATGAGGCACCCAGTTCAAGTGTGCGCTTACTTCCAAACTCTGACCCAGAATTTCTTCTGCAGTGGGACTTCTCAAATCCATGGACAGGATTCCAGAGGCTCTGGCCGGAGTGGTCTGGCCCACAGTTCCAGTCTGGTGGAGGAACACTTAAGTGGTCTTGCTGGCCTCCAAAGAGTGCCTGGGGTGGAAATAGTCCACTTGTACCTAAATATAGCCTCGGGCAGACAATAATATAGAACAAGAGAAAGCTGAGCTGATAAGCCCAAGCAATAGGTATTTACTAGATATTTATCAAAAGAAATGTGCATTCTTTAAGTCTTTTGTCCGATTACTGAGGGTGATTTGTACATAAAGTATCTTGTTTCTAGTCCATCCAGCAAGAACTTATTGAGCATATTGAAAGGTTTTGGGGCCAACACAGTGCAAGGTACTGTGGGGACTGCACAAAAAATAAGAAAACAGGACAGGAAGTGAGACAATCTGGGCCCTACGATCAGCTCTATCCCGGTGTGTTGTTGGATGAGTCATTTTCCCTCTGGAACTTCGTGTCCTTATCTGGGAAACAGGACTTGGACTTCTGGTCTCTGAGATCTCTTTCAGTTCTGACATTCTGTGAATTCCAAATTAGATGTGATGGCAGATGTGACCACATCCAGCATCAAGGAGGACTTCAAAGTTTGGGCTGGACCTTCATTCCTTGAGATGCTTTAAGGTCCAGTCCTGCCCTTGGGCTGTTTACAACATGTTGTAGAGCCAGAAGAGATTTATTTCAGGCAATTAATTCATGTGCCCTGAGGC